TGGAGGTGGAGATGGAGGTGGAGATGGAGACAGAGACAGAGATGGAGGTAGAGACAGTGATGGAGATGGAGGTGGAGGTGGAGGTGGAGGTGGAGGTGGTGATGGAGATGGTGATGGAGATGGTGATGGAGACGGAGACGGAGACAGAGACAGAGGGGGAGGTGGAGGTGGAGGTGGAGATGGAGGTGGAGGTGGAGGTGGAGATGGTGATGGAGGTGGAAATGGAGGTGGAGATGGTGACGGAGGTGGAGATGGTGATGGAGGTGGAGACAGTGATGGAGATGGAGATGGAGGTGGAGACAGTGATGGAGATGGAGGTGGAGGTAGAGGTGGAGGTGGAGATGGTGATGGAGATGGTGATGGAGATGGTGATGGAGATGGAGACGGAGACGGAGACAGAGGGGGAGGTGGAGGTGGAGGTGGAGGTGGAGGTGGAGATGGTGACGGAGGCGGAGGTGATGAAGAAGATAGTGGTGATGAATACAGTGATGGTGGTAGAAGGGGAGGTAACAGTTGAGGTGGAAATGATGGTGATGAGGGTGGAAGAGATGTTGATAGTGGTGGATGTGGAGCTGGTCATACTGGTGGAGATGAAGGAGAGATTTTGCTGCAGATGCTGGTGGTGGTGGTGGTGATGGAAACTGTGCTATAAGAAAATGCTACAGAGCAAGTCATTCTTACAGAGCATAGGTTTGTTCTGTCATGATTCCAGATGTTTCCATCTAAGAGTGTTGTGCCAGTGTCCACTTGACATCTGCTGAGGCCTCCTTGATGCACGTGGTAGAGGGCAGAGTGTGGTGAGTCAGAGCCAGTGTGCAAGTACAGGCCTCCCTTCTTTTCTCATACACCCACGAATGGTATCATAGGGGCCTGACTCTCTTAATTCCATCTAACCCTAAATCACCAAAGGCCCCACATCCAAAGACCACTAACGTGCATTTGTGCTTTAAGTTTCCAGCATATGAACTATAGGGGGCACATTTCCCACCAGAGCAGATGGTAACTCTGGGTTTCACAGCCATCCTTTTGGGAACCTTTGGTGGACACGCACACTAGCTCTTTCTTTCCAAGAGGCTGACAAAAGAGGGCACAAGACTCCAAGGCATTGTTTGCCCAGATGGCCACCATGTGAGTCCTGAGGTAATGAGGTCCCTGCCCACAGGATAGACCAGAGGGGTGGTCTTGGCCTGACAGTCTCCCATGACCAAGGAAATGAAAGCAGGCTGCTCATGTCTGAGATTGAAGGCCATCGCCTCGTTGAGCTGAAATGTATTGAAATTCACTCTGCCCTAACGTGGAAGTTGTGTATGTTGAGGTCAGGGAGCCCTTTTGCGGGATCTGGCTTTCACACCTCCTTCCAGCCTCGGTTCTGATTTCTATTTCCGCTGCTCAAGGACTAGGGCTGAGAAAGGTTAGCTAAAGACCTCCCTCCACATGGGTCTTCACCAGGATGTGGCTATTTTGTGGAGCAGAAATAAAATTAAAATCCCCCCACCCTGCACCCGGGCCTGTGGACTGAGAACCTCAGGAACCCTAGGGGCTGGAGGGATGTGGGTTGTTAGTCCACGGAGGGCTCCATGGAGTGTGTGATGGAAAATGGAGGGGTTGCCAGCTTCAGTTGAACCCTCCAAAACATTCTTGAGGCTGGAAACTCAGCTCAGATTGAAAAAAGTCCCTGCCTACCTCCTTGCTATGTCCACGGCCCCAGCATGTTATGTGATCCTGAGAAATCCTTTTAACCAACTCAGGCCTCATGACGTTTCCCTGACCCACAAAGAGGTGGCCAAGATGATCTCCGAGGCTCTTCAACTCTAGGTCCAGCCCCTGCCGCGTGCTCTTCACCTGGCTCTCTGCCAGAGCATACCCCACACACCTGCTTCTCCATCCCGCCTGTCTGCAGGGTCGGGTTCCTCGCCCTCTGTGGCCCTGGCTCAGCTTGAAGCCGGGTCTACAGCAAAGCCCCACACTGCACAGCAGGCTGAAGCAGCCCTTTCCTTCCTTGGCTTCCCATGGCTTCCATCTCCCCTCTGTCACAGAAGTGTCTCTCTTGTCCTAAACTCTTAGCCAGGAGGGCGTCACGCTCAGCGCCTTCACACCTCAGATGCACCTCCCAGCCTGGGCCTGGAGCACATTTGTCTCCCAGCTCTGTCAGCAGCCGGGCAGGCCTGGCAGGCAGAGTGCTGTGCAGTGCTACAGAGTGAGTGAACTTCACAGCTGCAGAAACCAAGAATCCCAGGGGTCAAGTGGCCAAGACTAGAAGCCAGACCTGTGGAGCCCCAGCGCACTGGCCACTGAGGTGTCAGGGCTGGAAGGGCTTGTGGTGACGGAGCTCATATCTGTCAGTGTCCTCCAAGCCTATGTAATGTAAGTGCCCTTGAAAGGAGAAGCAGGGATGGGGAGGGAAGAGAGGGGAGAGGACATAAAAGAATTGAGATGCTTTATGCACCTTGTACCAACTCCTCGCAGTGAATGTGAGCATTATATACTGCAAACATGTACCAATAAAAATAAAAATTTAAAAATAAATAAATCCTGCAAAAGAAAGAAAGGCAGAAGAAAGCAAGCAAGCAGGCAAGAAAGAGGGAGGAAGCACCTGGGTGTGATGGCCCAGGCCTATAATCCCAGCACTCTGGGAGGCTGAGGCAGGAAGATCACATGTTTGAGCCCAACCTGGGGAACTTAGCGTCTTAGCAAGACTGTCTCAAAATAAGTAAATAAATAGAGAAGGTGATGTAGCTCAGTGCAAAGGTCCTGGGTTCAATTCCCAGTACTCAAAGAAAATGAAAGACAAATGAGAAGAAGGGGAAGAAGAGGAAGAAGAAGGAAGAGAAAGGGAGGACAAGAAGGTTGAGGGAAAGAAGAAAAAAGGCAAAGAGGAAGAGGAGGAAGAAAGAAGCAATTCTCATAAATCCAATCTATGAACTCCCATAGCTGAACAACACCAGTTTAAAGAACTGAAGTTCTAGTCTATGAAAATGTTTCACTGCAGAGTTCCGTCTTTATTACTGCTAAAATATTTTAATATTATTGAAATTTCAACTTTAAAACCTATTCCAAGAACTTAGGAACTCTGCAAGTAGATGCCTAGCTGGAGAAACACTACCCTAGCCGACAAAGCAATTCACAGGAAAGTGTGAATGGCTCCCTCTGCCCTTTTCACTGTGTGGCCAGGCCCAGCGGCAATTTGTGCTCTTACATTTCCCCTTGGAAGGAGCCACCCTCTAAGGTAAAATGACAGTCCTCCTGTGCTCACCCAAGATGGTGACCTGAAGCTCTTCAAAGCAAGTTCTGTCCAAGAGCCCAATTTAGGGTTTACCTAAAAATGAGGCAAGGGGGCAAAGGTTTCAGGTTCCAGTTATAGGTAAGGAATGTGTTTCCCACAGTCAGCACTACATGGCACACACACACACACACACACACATACACACACACAAACACACGTAGGTACACAGAGATACTTTGTCCAGTTGCTGTGACACACTCTCATCTTTGCAAAGAGTCTCTCTCTCTCTCTCTCTCTCTCTCTCTCTCTCTCTCTCTCTCTCTCCAGGGTGTCACTATCTAGCTCAGACTGGGCTTGAACTCGAGGTGATCCTCCTGCCTCAGCCTCTTTAGTGCTGGGGCTACAGGCAAATGCCAGCACACCTGGCTCAGAGAAGCCACTTTGAGAGGCGGCCATTCTGTGGTTGTGCGGCTGCTCTTCTTCGGTTGTCAAAGACCCTGTGGTGATATGGAAAGGGCAAGATCTCCTCATTCATACAGATCCGAGCTCAGCTTCTTTTTGTCTGGGTCATCTTAACCAAGGTGGGGGCTCTTCAGGCCTCTTTTCTCATCTCTAAATTAAGAGTAACATCTTCTAGTTCATAGACTTGTCGTGGCAAAAACAACACTACTGTGCCTGGTGCACAGCCTGTTAATGGCAGTTATCACATGGGTGAGAGAGTCCAGAGAGAGCCTGCTGGGGGCTGATGGGAAAGCTGGACCCCAAAGCCCCACACCTGAGTTAAATCCCAGAGGGCTACTTTCTAGTTGTGCCATCTTGGTTGAGCCACTTAAATTTAGACTTCCACACCCTCAGCTACAAAATGGGATAATCATTACACTTGGCCCATGGAATTGTTACAAGCATAAAATTACTCAATAAATTGAAACACTTAGAGAAATACTATATACAAAAAGCACTCTACCAGCTGTGTTGTTGTTTGGTTTTTTTCTTTTCACTTTTTTTATTAGTCCATGTTTGCAGTACATAATGACTATATTCCTCACGAGAAGCTGGTACATGCACATAACACATCTTAATTCTCTCTTTGTTCCCTCCTCTCCCTTTCCCTCCCTTCATCTTTTGGTCCCCTTCCGTTTTGCAAAATATCTATCTCCCTATTTCCTATTATCTATCTTTTATTTTGCTGTTTATATTTTGGGTTTCCTCATAGAAGAGAAACTATGTGGTATTTAAGCTTGTGTATCTGATTTATTTCATTTAATGATATGGTCTCAAGGTGCATCCATCTTCCTACAAAAAGTTTATCCTTCTTTATGACAGAGAAGTGCTTCATTGTGTGTAAATAGCCCATTTTCTTTATCCATTCATCTGTTGATGGACATATAAGGCAGGCCACTTCCAAGATTTAGCTATTATGAACTGTGCTGCTATAAACATGGATAATGCATGGATCACTCTAATATACTGTCTTGAACTCTTTCAGGAAGCTACCTAGAGGGCCGGAGATTTAGCTCAGTGGACCCACACCTGCCTCAAAAGCTCAAGGTCCTGAATTCGATCTCTGCTGTCCCCCTCCACACACAAAAAAAACAAAACAAAAGGAAGATATCTAGAAAGGAATAGCTGGTAAGCCAAGGTGAATCCCACCTTTGCTAAGTTTGGAGTTCCTTTCTCTTCCCGTCACTCTCCTCCTCAGATGGTGGGTTTCCCAGTTTGCATGTAGCACTCAGAGCCAGCCTGGTGATCCTCATTTCCCCTGACTCTGAGAGGAAGCTGAACGCAGTGGCCTCTCTGCAGCCTGCCATCTTCTGTCGTGGGCAGCTTGTCGTGTGTCCCCTCGACCTGTGTGAAGCCAGGATTCACCCCGTGAGTGACTGTGAGAGCCAATGCCACCAGACCTCACTGAGAGCTCCTGGGGTCACTTACGCCACACTGCAGCTTAAGAGTACCCCCAGAGAAGGGAATTCCACTCCCTAGAGAGCCAGGTGCTGCAAAAAGTTCTCCCTGAGAGCTGCCCTAAACCCCTGCTATTCACTGCTGAGCCCCTCTTTGATTCTTCACAAGCAATGCTTTCTTCAGCTTAATTGGTCTTTGGCTAAGCTGCAAACTCAGGGTAAAAACTGAAAACCAAAGTGAAAAACTCACTCACTAGACTGGCAAAGCAACACACAACACAGTTCCCAGCAGTCAGGATGGAGGAGCAGGCACCGAGGTTGGATGGAGGGAGTGTAACCTGCTGCAGCCTCCTGCAGAGAAGCCTGGTACTATCTACCCAAATTTAACACAAGCACACCTTGGACGCATTGATGTCATTTTCGTCTTCTAGAAATACTTTCACCTGTACAAAGGTAGTCTTATAAGGATGTCCACTGAACCATTGTTTGTGGTTGCAAAACTGTAGCAACAATATAGATGTCCGGTAGCACAGGAATAGATAAATCATAGACGGATATCTATGCAAAGGTGAACTATAGCACTTTACACAAGGATCATGTATGTATGCACATGTTTATATGCATGTATATATAGATGTACATATATGAAACCATGGAAATATTAAGAGCAAAATAATATCACAGAACAAACTAAATGGTTTGACCTTTTTGTTATTGTTTTGTTGTTATTTTTGTTTTTGTTTTGAGACAAGATCTTGCTGTGTAGCCCAGGCTGGCCTTGAACTCATGGTGCTCCCCTTGCCTCAGCCTCCCAAGTGCTGAGATTACAGGTGTGCACCACCACGCCCGGCTTGGTTTGATCTTATTTGAGGGGGAAGCCACCCTTTCCCCTCTCCTCTCAGGTGGGTGAGGTTCCCTGCCAAGTTCTGGCTGGTTCCCAGCTGGCTCAATGGGTTAAAAGTCCAGCCCCTTCCTCGTGGCAGATGGGTCAGTGCCCCAGGGTGGACACACCTGACAGGGGAGGGAGCAGGGAGGCCCCAGGGTCAGGACTCTTGCCTGGCGGAGGGAAGTAGCCTGGGCCTGACAGACCAGGGTTTCCATTGTGCCTTCACCTTTTCATCGCCTTCAGAGTGGCCTTGGCAGGGTTCTTCAGCACTCTGAGCCTCAGTTTCTCCACCCGTAAAACAGAGTAGTAACACCACCCTGCACGGTGGGAATTTGATGAGTCCAGGTACAGAAAGGCACAAGCTGGCCTCAGTCAGTGTCGGCCCTCTCCTATCCCCTGAAAGCTTTCCCCAACTTTGCTTTCAAGCTCCTGTAATCCAGCCTCAGCTGCATCCCTCTTCATCAGCCCTCCGGCCCCAGGCCCACGCTTAGTTCCCACTCTGAACAACTGAGTTAAGGCCAACAAAGAGCACACCCTCCCATCAAAGCACCCAGGTTTCAGACTCCTCTGCCCCTCCCACCACCCCAACTGCCCGACCTCACCCAGGTGCTCCTTGGCGTTCAACCCAAACCTACCCCACACCACCCTACCATGAAGCTCAGGTGGGTCCATCATAGAAACCCCACTACTCTGTCATCTCCCAAGAGGACCCATTTCCAGCCCCTCCCCGAAGCCCCCATGGCCAGGGTCCCAGGGAAAGCACCTGGGTGCTAGGCCCTGAGGGCTCTGCCTCCCCCAAGCCCCCGCCGTCCTCCAGACCCCTCTCTGCTCTCCTCAGCAGCCCAGGCCGACTTCCACCTTTGTGCTGACGGAGCGCCTGAGCTCGGGAAGAAACTTGACCCAAGTATTCTCTCTCTTTCCGAAGAGGAAACCGAAGCAACACAACATCCCCGAGGAACTTCCTCAAGGCTACACCGCAGGGCGAGCAGTCAGAGCCGGGCTGTCTCTCAGGCAATCTCCACGCCCTTTGTGGGCTCTCCCAGCCCAGCCCGGGGTCCTACACCAGTCGGCCCGGCCTCAGGCCCTGCCCGGCCCCACCCCGTCCTCGTCCAGGCACCTGCGGGGGCAGGTGGGCGGCTGGGAGGGAGGCCTGGCGGGATGGTGTGCCTCACCCGCCCGCCGGGACACCCCCTCGGGCCTGGGCCCACGGCCTCCCAAGCGGACGAGGTTCGGTTGACCTTGGCACGCGGCGGCGAAGCTCTCCGAGCCGAGGCCCTGGCGGCCACCCGGCGCCAGGCTCCGGTTTCCGCTGCCACCTTCTCGGGTTCTCGCCCAGCCGGCCTGGGGAGGAGCCGGGTGCACCCCGCGGCGGGCAGCGCTCGAGAAGGGGCTGACAGGAAGGTCTCCCTGCCAGCGGAGCGTTCTCCGGACTCTCCATCCGGAGCCAGTGAGGGGCGGCGGGGTCTCCCAGCCCCCTTTGCCTCCAGGCCCCGCTTCCACCTCTGTCGATGGCCTGGCGGGCTCGGGGCACAGGGTGGAGGCAGCTGTGCTCTCCCCGTTCAGGTACCAAGATTCCCCCCCC